AAAAAAACAACTCTAGCTTTATAACAGGTATGACTTTAAATCTAGTAAGGCAAGCTTCTAATTCATTTGCTCTTTGTCAAGGGGTTATTGTTACACAGTCATATATACACTGTGTAAAATCTCCATGAGCTATTATGTATCCATATGTTTACACATTCATAATCATTTTTTCTCCATTAGAATGAAAGCTTCCTGAAGGCAGGAATTTTGTTGTGTTCACCACTGTATCCCCAGTACCTAGAACAGATTTGGATCCTTAGTATGCTCTTTATAAGATTTTATGGAATAAACGAATGAATGACATATGAATTTTTGGCATCTTGTCAAGTTCTATGAAAAGTACTTTTGGGATTTTGATTGAGATTGCACTGAAGTATTCAATTAGTTTAGGGAGAATTGACATTTTTACCATGGTAGTCATCCCATTCTTAAACATGTCTCCATTTATTTGGGTCTGCTTTGCATCCTTCAGTGCAATCCAATGTTTTCTCCATGAAGTCCTTATATATTTCTGATTAGTTTAAATATTTCATAGTTTTTGTTACAGTGGTGAATGGGATTTCCAAATTATTACATCTTCAAATTGTTATTGCTGATAATATATAGGAAAGCTATTGATTCATTAATATTGATTTGTGTCCAACCACTTTGCTGAACTCCCCAATTGTTGCTCTTGGGTTTTCCAAGTGGAATGATCAATCACATCACCACAAACAATGGCAATTTGGCCTCTTCCTTTCCAATCCTTAAACATCTTGTTTGTCTTTAATTTCTTATTGCATTAGTTGTAACTTCCAGGACATTGAAGAAGAGTAGAAGGATTGGCTCATTTCTGAAGATATTGGGTATATCACTCAGGATACGACAAGAGATTCTGCAATAACAATCCCAAAATCTAGTGGCTTAATGCAATAAAAATTTATTTTCCACTCACACTTCACGTTGAACACAAGTCTCGGGATGGAGGAGGTGGTTCCATTTCCCAGAGTTCCAGGCTGATGGAGGCTCCGTGCCTCCATGGACAGGTGCTTCTGTGACACTGTGGCAGGAGGAAGGGGTGAGATGATTCATGCATTGGCTTTGGAAGTTCCCACCCTAAAGCAACACGTGTTTTGTTCAATAGCATTTCAAAGCAAGTGCCATGGCTGAGCCCAACTTCCAAAGGAATAGGGAAGTGGGATCCTACCACATGCCGGAGAACAGCTGGACCATGGGAACGCTGCCGATGCTCCATCATTGCACATGGTGTTTGCTCTACTTTCTGGTAAATAATCCTTTACCAGGTTAAGAAGTAAAGTTCCTAAGTTGGTTTAGAGTTTATTAAACAAGTTAAGAGGTTGTCTTTATCATCAATGGGTGTTAACTTTTCTCAAATGACTTTATGCCTAATGAGCAAGTGTTATTTTTCCTTCCTTAGTGTGTTAAGGCATTTATACATATTCTGTTCCTGATTAATTCCTTCTCATTCTTTAGTGTTCACTCATTCTTTCGGCAAATATTTATTGAGTAACACCATGTGCCAGATGCTGTTCTAGGCACTTGGGCTATAGCAGTGAACAAAGCAGACCCTGGTCATGTGCATCTTATGCTGGGGGTGAGAAAGAAAATAAACATAGAAACAAGTGAACAAATTATACAGCATGCTAATGGGGTTAAGCACAATGGAATAGGAAGATGGAAGAGCAGGGTGAGGGAGGACAGAGGTGCTGGGGGTGAGGTGTAGTTGGAGTAGGTCTCACAAGAAAGTCACATCAGAGCAAAATAGGGACAGGGATAACCAGGCAGATGTCAGGAGGCCGACTATTCCAAGAGGATGGCAGCTGCAGGGCAAAGGCCCTAGGGTGAGAGTGGCCTGGTGTGTTCCAGGGACAGTGATCAGCTGGAGTTGAATGAGTGAAGTTAGCGGAAGACGAGAAGGAATGGGGTGGTGATGCGGGGAAGTGACCATGAGGGCCTTGGACTCCATAGCAGGGACTTCGCATTTTCTTAGAGTATGATGGGAGCCCTTGCAGGGTTTTGAGCAGAGGAGGGACAGAATCTGACTTGTGCCTCAAGAGGATGCCCCGGATGCAATGTTGAGAATTACCTCTAGTGTGGCAAGGGGAGAAACAGGAATCTCCTACAGTAAATCAGGCACGAGATAAAGACACTCGTAAGGGGATCACAGCAGTGGAGGAGGTGAGAGACAGTTGGATGCTGGATATATGTTGCAGGAATAACCAATATGATATTCTAATGACTTTGATGTGGGTTGTGAGAAAATAAGGGAAGTCATGATGGTTGCCGGATTTTTTGCCTGATCAACAGGACAAGTGAGTTATCAGGATGGAGTTGGGAGAGGTTTTTTTTTTTTGGGGGGGGGGACAAGGCTTCAAGGGAGGATCAAGAGTCCAAGGTTTTTTTTTTTCTTTTTTATTATGATATATTTTTTTAATTTAGGTATAATTCACATACTGTGAAATTAACCCTTTAAAAATGTACAATTCAGTGGTTCTTAGTATATTCACAAAGTTGTGCAACCCTCACCACTATCTAATTCTAGAACATTTGATGACCCCAAAAAGAAACCCCATATCCATTCCCCCTCCCAGACATCCACTTTCTGTCTCTATAGATTTTCCTATTCTGGAATCTTCATATAAATAGAATTATACAATATGTGGCCTTTTGTATCTGGTTTCCTTTACTTAAACATGTTTGTAAATTTCACCCATGTTGTAGCATAAATCAGTACTTCATTCTTTTTTATAGCCAAATAATATTCAATTGTATGGATATATCACAATTTATTTATCTAGTCATCAGTTGATGGACATTTGAGTTGTTTCAACTTTTTGGTTATTATTATTTTTTTTTTTTCTTTTTGTATCCAACCCTCAAGTGGAACTTTTTGGTTATTATGAATAATTCTGCCATCAACAGTCATGAATAAGCTTTCATATGAACATATGTGTTCAATTCTCTTGAGTATATACCTAGGAGTGGGTTGCTGGGTGATATGGTGACTCTATTTTAACTTTTTTGAGGAACTGTCAAATTACTTTCCAAAACAGCTGTACCATTTTATATTCTCATTAGCAAGGTATGAAGGTTTCAACTTTTCCCGGTCCTTGCCAACACTTGTTAACTTTTTCATTGTGGCCATCCTAGTGGGTGGGCAGTGGCATCACATTGTGGTTTTAATTTGTATTCCTCTGATGATTAACGACAGTGAGCATCTTCTCATGTGCTTATTGCCATTTGCATATCTTCTTTGGAGAAATGTCTATTCAAATTCTTTGCCCATTTTAAAACTGAGTTGTCTTTTTATTGTTGTAAGAGTTCTTTATGTACTCTGGATACTAGACCCTTATCAAATGGTTTCCAAATATTTTCTTCCATTCTGTAAGTTGTGTTTTAAGCGTTTAGTTCTGGAGTTGTTGCCTTAAGATGTTTCATAGACTGTTAAATAGTTAATTCTGGCACAGAAGTGAGAGCTAAGTGATATAAATACAGAATCATCAGTATATGGAAGAATAATATGTAAAATCATGAGACAAGGTACATTCTCTCATTAAGAGAATAAGAACAGAGGGAAGGAAGAAGGTGTCAAGGACCCAGCCCTGGGATGCTCTAACACTCAGAAGTTGGCAAGGAGGAACGAGCCACCAGTGGAAACTCAGAAGGGGCAGCTAGTGAGCAGGAGTAAACCAAGAGCCTGTGTGTCCAGGATGCCTGGGGAGAAAGTGTTTGCAAAGAAGGCTGTGGTCACCTGGGTCAGATGCTCCTGGTAAGTCAAGTACAATGTGGACTGAGAAAATGCCATGGGGTTTAGCAACCCAAAGGGGATTGGTGACTTGACCAAGAGCAGTTTCAGAGGAAGGCTGGGGAAGAAAGCCTCATCAGAGGGGGCTCAGGAGAAAGTGGAAGGAAAGAAACTGGAGACAGCAAGTGTAGACATCTCTTTTAAGGAGCTTTGCTGCAAACCTAGAATGGTAGGTAGAGAGAGAAGTGAGGCAAAGAGTATATTGTGTTGTTTTGTTTTCTTGTTTTGCTATTAAGATGGGATAAACAGCATTATGTTTGAATCAGTTAGGAATGACCCGGTGGGAGCCAAGAATTAATGACGTGGGAGAAAGGGAAGAATTGCTGGCGTGGCGTCCCATCGCCTGATGGCATTGGAAGGCTGGCCCGATGGGCCCTATGGAAAGAGGTGGGCAGGCAGGGGGCGGGCGATGGAAACCTGGGGAGTCTGCGCTCCCGAGTTTTTGAGGGAAGGAGGAAGCGACAGCTCTGACTGAGGGTGAGGATGAGGCGGAGGGGCTGGGACACAGGAGAGGGAGAAGGGCGAGACGGTGTCTGCCGGAGAGCAAGTGCGGTAGGGAAGGGCCGTGTGAGTCCAGTCCAGTCAGCGTTAGGGGCGCAGCCGAGGTCTGTGCGGTGAATTTTAAGCTCAGTTCAGACATCACTTTCTCCGGAAAGCTTCTGACACCCCCACCCCCACCAACACACAGTGGGTCTTCGCCCCTGTACTGCTGCTCCCTGACAACTCTGATCTCAGTGAAGGGAAAGATCAACTCTACCGTTTGGTTCTTTAGCCCTTGGACCCCTCACTAGGGGTACTGCAAATCCCACCTGTCTGGTCCATCGCCGTATCTCAGCATCCAGCTCGTGCATGCTTGACTCTCAACACGCAACCACTAAACAAGTGAAGGAATGAATGAAGTGATGCATATGAATGAAGTGATGCATGAGAAAAGTCCTAGAAGGGGGCTGGGTTTTGTCAGTGGGCCTAGATTTCTGAAGCAGCGTCCCGCATCCCTGGGTGACTGTAGGTACGCCCTCCCCTCCCTTGCCCTCCCCACCCGCTCAGCCTCGCTCCCTCCCAGCGCCCAAGGCACAGACCTTGCGGCTTTAAGGGCGGGCGGAAGCCGAGCCGGCCGCTGATTGGTGGTTTATTCTAACGCCGGGGGATGAGCTCATCTGCAGCCAATGGCCGGGCGGCGCCGGCCGGAGTCCGCACCTGGCTGCGGGGCCGAACGCAGCGGCCCGCGGTGCACGCTCGCCCGCGGGGGTGAAGGGGCGGTGGCGGCCGGGGCAGGTCCGGCCCCGCGGACCGAGCTCCCTGCTCGGGCAGGTACGGTGTTTGCCCGGCTCTTCCTCCATCCTCCCCGGGCGAGGGGCCCTCTCCACCCGCGCCCAGCCTGGCCTTCCGCGGGTGGGAAGGCGCGCCTGTGTGCCGGGGACTCGCGGGCTGCACGCGCCGCTTGCCGTGGCCAGGCGGCTCTGCCCGGCAGGACCCGGCCCGGCGGGGTGGCCTCTGCAGCGGGGCGACCCAGCCCTGCCCGGCCTGGCCCATCCCGCCTTGGCGCCCTCCGGAGCAAGGCCTCAGAGCTGCGTGTCCCCCTTGGCTGGGCTGAGCAGGGCCGAGCAGGGAGCGTGCGGCCTCCCTCCTGCCGCAGCCTCTCGGCCAGGGTTCAGCTCCCCGCAAGCTGGGGATGTGAATGTCCCTCACCACCCCACCCCGCATCCTGTTCTCTCCTCGCTCTCTCCACAGAGGCTGAAATGGCCTGGGGTTGGAAGTTCGGGCCCTGGCCCTTCCCAGGGGGACCTGAGAGAGCAGAAGTGGCCGCGGGCTGCAGTGAAGGCAGAGGCCATTCTGCCAGCCTCTCTGGGCCCTTCCTTTCCCTGTAGCCATCTGTGTCACACATTGCCCAGGGAGGAGGCCACATGGCCTCCTGGTCTTCTCAAAGACAGGGCTGGGAGGACCGAGCCATCCTCTCCCTGGGGCTGGGTCACTCTGCCCTCTCTCATTTAACCCCATCCAGCGTGGCACCGAATCTGCCCCTCAGTCATTCTGTCAACAGGCCTTAAGGCCCAGCTCTGTGCCCAGCTCACTGCCGGCTCCCAGGGGCATCCTTGCTCACTGACCACACTGACCTCAGGACCAAACAAAGCAGGGACAATCCATGCTGTCCAGGGAGAGGTGCCATTGAGCTGAACCCCGAAGGGTAAATGCTATTCCCACAGTAGGAGCAGGGCAGGGAGAACAGGGAGAATGGGGGGAACAGGCTTTGCACCCAGAGTGTGGCCTTCATATGCTTAAGGTGCACTAGACATCAGCCTTGCTCTATGGAGGCCCCGAGAAGGTGACTCTGGATCATAGACATCTTCAGCTCTCTCCAGTGCTCAACAGATAGTAGATGCTGAGAAGTTCCTGTTGAGCTGAATTTGAATGGAAAGGAAAACAGAGCCCTAAGCTCTGTTATATTCTATCACTGCCACCACTTAGGAAGTATCTGGATCAGTCAATGAAGATACCTTTAGAAGCTCTGATCCCTCCAGCCTTTGGAGGTGAATATTAGTCTCCCCAGTATTCAGTGGAAGAAACTGGGGTGCAGTTAGGGGTGTTGCTCCCAGCTAGGTCCTCCCTAATGCATTTGCTCGTTGCAGACCCCAGCGGCAAGGCAGCCATGAGCCTGGTCCTCTGCGAGTGCCTGCCCAGCCCTGGCCTGGAGGCTGAGCCCTGCTCACGAGCACGCTCCCAGGCCCGTGTGTACCTGGAGCAGATTCACAACCGGGTGGCTGTGGGGGCGCCTGACATGACCAAGCGTGACTATCTGGTGGACGCGGCCACACAGATCCGGCTGGCCCTGGAGCGCGACGTTAGTGAGGACTATGAGGCAGCCTTCAATCACTACCAGAATGGCGTGGACATGCTGCTCCGTGGCGTACACGGTGAGGGGCAGGGAAGGGACAGGGTGAGTGGGGAAGGGCCAGGCTTGTCCTGTCATCCTTCTGTCCTGTCCTCTGACCACCCATACTGGGTGAGCAGGGCACTGCGCTGGCCCTGTAGGGCCTCTGTGAAGGACAATAATGATAGCTAAAATGTATTAAGCAGTCCTATATGCCTGGCACCATCCTAAGGGCTTTACCTAGATTAACTCATCCGAGCCTCACAGTAATAGAAATTACTTTATATGGGTTGCATGTAGTTCCAAGTATATAGGAACCATTTTTGTTCCCATTTTCTGGATTAGGAAACTGAGGCATGGGGTAGTTAAATAGCTTGTTCAAGACTCCACAGCTGTCAAGTGGCAGAGCTGGGCTTTGGACAGTTTTGTCTTCAAAGGCTGTGTACTTGGCCCTCTATACCTGACTGCCCTTGGGGCTGGGCTGGGCTCCTGCCCTCCAGGAGCTTGCATTCTAGCAGGAGGGAGACCAATGAATTGGGATAGACAATTATAGTCCCAGGTGGGAAGAGGAATAAGGGGGGAGGGAAGGAAGGGAAGAGGGAGACTGAGGCCAGACTGGGCTGGCATAAAGCATTTTCTAAAAGTTGCAACTGAAGAATGGTAGGCATGTTGTCCAGCTGCAGGGCCGATATTGTTCCAGAGAGAGAACAGCCAAGGCCTGGAGGTGAGAGCAGAGGCACTTCCAGTGTTGGAGGTGAGGCTGGTGCTGAGGTCATTATGAGACCCCTGCAGGCCTTGGTGGCCAGACCAGGGTTAGGAGCTAGTCCCTGACTCACCCTTCCTACCATCCTGCCGGGCCTCCAGCCTACACAGTGTGTTCCTTTGCCCTCGATCCTGGTCCCGACCCTGGCCTTTTTCACACTGGGCATCCAAGAGGGAAGAAGCAGTGCTCTCTGGAACATCTGTCTCCTCCTCTAAAGAAATGGACATGGAAATCCCCACCTTGTCCCTTCCCAGGGTGTGATGGCAGCCAGTGAGGTGGCCATCTGTAAAGTGCTGCTGGCTGAGGGGTGACCGTGGTTCCCAACCTTCCCCTGTCAGCTTCCTTCCTCCTCCCCTTCTGGTCTCCCACCCCAGAGAAGGGGCTCAAGAGCAGATCTGGGGGCAGAATCTGCTGAACTAGCCTTAGAAGGAGCAGCTATCTGCTGTGGAGGCCAGAGGGCAGGCAATGGGAGCTGTAAGCCCAACCCCCCAAGGCCAGGGGCAGGGGCAGGGGCAGGGGTGGGCTCTGGTGACCCTTGTCCCCAACAGTCGACCCCAACAAGGAGCGATGTGAGGCTGTCAAGCTGAAAATTACCAAGTACCTGCGGCGGGCAGAGGAGATCTTCAACTGCCACCTGCAGCGGACGCTGGGCAGCGGAGCCAGCCCTGGCACGGTGAGGACACCCTCCCCAAAGGCAGGGGTGGGGAGTGGGGAGAGGGTGGGCCGGGCAGTGGAGAGTGAAAGTCAGGCTGGACGGTGCCAGGGCTGCCCACCCGTCTTCTGGCCTCCTCTCTCCCATGCCTCATGGTTGGTTCATTTTCATACTCGTACTGAGTCATCTCTGGTCCAGTCTGGCTCCTGCACGGAGCACTGGGCGTGTGTATATACACATCTATCAACCTTGCACATGGTTCCGTGTACATGCTTCTATGTGTACACGCTCAGAGCCTGCTTCTGTTGTGAATTGGCACGTAGCAAGCATTTGGAGCAGACCCCATCACCACATATGCACACGTGCATGCCTGCTGCACACATGTGTACAGAGACTCCTCCCACGTGGCTTTTCCTAAGCAAGTGAGTGCTCGGGAGGGGTTGAAAATGCACGCACACTTCCCAGCCCACAGGCGGGCGCAGGGGCACGCGAGCCCTCCTGGGACTGCTGTCTCTTGTAAGGGTGCCTTTCCCCAAAGCAGGGGCTCATCTTCAAGGCTTATTCCCTGACCCTACATGTTCCCAGGTTGCTTCCCTGCCCACCCTTCCCTTCCCTTCCCTGTGGATGGGACTTTGCAGAGGGGGCTTCTCGAGCCCCAGGAACTTCCTAGGCCTCAGATAAGGGCTGAGCAAAGAGGTCAGCTTGGCCACCCTGGAGCAGTGTGGCCACCTGCCGGTCAAGCCCAGTTCATCTGCTCAGCCTGCCCCTGTGAGGTGGGGTCTGCTGTGCCCCAGACCTGCCCACATGGCCCCACTGCTCTTCGGCAGCCAGAAGCCCCTGCCCTCTGCCTGGTGAGGCAGCTGTGGCTGAGAGGGGCTTGTTCCTAAGGCTGCATGTGGCCTGTCTCCCTCCCCCACAGGGTTTCAGCAGCCTGAGGCTCCGGCCCATCCGCACGCTGAGCTCTGCCCTGGAGCAACTGAGGGGCTGCCGGGTGGTCGGGGTCCTTGAGAAGGTGAGTGAGTGGACACCGTGCTGTGGGGGGTTTGGGGGCGTTGGGGTGTGGTGGGAGCAGGCCTGGAGCCGCTGCCCTCCCTCCTCCAGCAGTTCCCACCTCTCCCCGACCCATCACACACGTCCTGGAGAGGAAAACACTAGGCCGACAGCCCCTCTGCATAGTCCCCCAGCTCAGACCCAGGAAACCTGCTGGGAGAGTCCAGACAGAAACCACAGGAGGAGCTGTGCCCAGGGCACCCTGCCAGCCCTCGCCGCCCTGCCCACTCCTGCTTCCCGCTTCCCACAGGCCCCCACCCACAGTCACTCCGCTCCCCAGGGCCGCAGCCAAGAGTCTCTCCCCACCGCACACAGCTGGGAACTTCCTGCGGCTGGAATGTGCTCATCCCCAAAAACCTGCCTGGAGAGGGACCACGCCGGCCTGCACCTTGTCCGGGGCCTTGGCAACCCTGCCTTTTCTTTCTCTCCTGTTCCAACTCTACCTTCACTCTGGTCCCGAGCCCATCTTGCACCCTTTCCCTTAATTCGGGGTCAGATGGGAAGATAGGAGGTGGCATCCCACCGTTACCCAGGGCACTGTTGTTAGAGGGGTCAGAAGAGCAAATGGCTAGGTCGAGTGCCAGGAGCCCATGTTAGATCCCCTCTGTCCCAACCCGAGAAACCTGAGTAGTCGCTAAAGCTGTCTGTCACAATCGCCCAGGCAGCTCCCTAAAAATGCAGTTGCCCAGGCCCTACCCCCGGCCTGTGGAGTCAGAATTTCTAGAGCTGAGCCCAGGAATCTGTGACTCAAGATACTCGTCAGGTGATTTTGGCAGATCGAGGGGCCCATAGAGAAAAGGACACACAAGAGGATGATGTGCCACCCGGGGGCCCACCCTGTGCCTGGGCAGTGTACAGGGTGGCCACAGACAAATCCCCTCAACCCTGAGCTTTGGCTTCTTCATCCATAAAGTGTCGGAAATCTCCCCCACACGGTGATCTGGGAAGTAAAATGAGATGATTTTGGGGAAAGGCCTGGCACACACTAAGACGTTGGCTACTTGTCTGATGGCTCTAAGTGCAAGTGACAAGAGTGAGTGGGGAGGCACGCAGGCTCGCATCCCTGGGGCTTGTTCCAGCTGCTTCTCCCAGGCCCTGGAACAGGCCCCAGACTATCAGCTAAGGCCCAGCCAGCTCCCATCTGCGGCAGTCCCCCTCCCACTGTGATAGTGTCAGTGGCTGCAGCCCGACCTTGGCCATCCGCAGCTGCTCCCATGGACAGGCTGGGGAGGTGACGGACATCATTTCTGTGAGTGAGATTCCGCTGAACCATAGGTGTTATGATGAGAGGGGTTCCCAGTTGAATCGGTTTGGGAAACAGAGTTTCTTAATTATAGGAGTTCTGAGAGCTTTTAGGATGCAAATGTACACCAGGGGTCTCTAAGAGGGCCATCTGTGACAGAATTCCCCAAATTTGTTTAGCCCCAGGAAAGCACTTTAGGAATCTAGTCTTTTGAGGTGAGGCTGTGCAGATGGAAAGCCCTTTTCTTTTTCACCCTTTCTGGGGCACTCAACTATGGACTGCACCTCCCTCCTGACACCCTGCTTCCTTCCCGTGTGACACCCATGCCAGGAACGCCACTCTCCCCAAATTAGGAAAGGTGTTAGTTACAGCCACTGGGCCCAGGCCCTGTGGCCAGCCCCGGTTCCAGTACCCTGGAGCTGCCCAGGCAGATCTGGGCGGGAGGCAGTGCCAGCCAGCAGAAGCCCGCAGGCCCAGGGAGCGAGCAAAGGGCTTGCTCAGGATGATACCTAAGTGTCCCCAAAGGTGCCCAAGTGTTAGGGCTAACTGGGCTGAGTAGGGGGTCTGCAGGGGCTGAAGAGATGCTGGCAGGGGTGTGGGGTGGCAGGGAGCAGGCAGCTGGAATACCTACGGGGCTACTCTTAGGGAGCCTGGGGGCTGGGAAGACATCCCTGGGTGTTTGCGGAGCCTTGTCTAGGAGCCAGGCTCTGAGTCTGGGATGGGAAGACAAAGGTCATCCAAGTCACTTCTTGTTTTATTTGGCTGGAACACAGGGGTGTTTTTTAAAAAAAATTACCAACATTTTTATAAAAGTCCAAATTTCCTGCTTCTCTTAAAAAATCAGATCTGGAGATGCTGCGTTCACATTACCCTGTGGCCGCAGAGAGTGGGGGAGGGGCTGCCCACTTTGCTCACAGGTCTGGCCCTGTCGGCCTTTGGGTATGAGAACCTGTTTGAAGCTTTTGGACTTGTTTGTTCCATGAGAGAATCCTCTTGGGATTTTGATACTTTGTGCATCTTTAAAAAGAAAATGTTTACCGTATTTCACCAAAGCTTTAATCGTTCCTGTGTCCCAAGAACTCAATGGCTTTAAAAAAAAAAAGATGACAGCAGGCACCCAGCTCTACCTGCCTTCCTCCCACAAGGAAGGCTCGCCTGACAGTGGAGGTGTGTTCTCATTTACAGAGCTGTTGCATTAAACCCTCACAGTCACCCTGGGTGAAAAAGCATTATCCTGTGCTGTCCAACACAGCAGTGACTAGCCACATAGGACTGTGGACATTAACATTAATTAGAAGGAAGTAATCTGTGTCTCAGGTGCACCAGCCACATTTCAATGGTGCGGTGGCCTCATGTGGCTTTTGGTTCCATATGAACAGTGCAGATTTGTATTTCCTTCATGACAGGAGGTTCTCTTGGACAGTGCTACATTTTAATAATTGTCCCACAGAGAATGAGACAGGTTGTAGAGGCCAAGGGACTAGATAGTGCTCTGTCCCCCAACCACTGAGCAAAAGAAGGCGGCTTTTTGTTTGATTGTATTAATGGGAAAATGCCCCCTCTGCTGCCCTGCCGAGGTATAATAAAAGAGAACAGAACGGAGTTTAAAACGAGGAAAACCCCTGCCATACTACCTAACTCCGAGTGAATCACTGTTGATATTTGGGTCTAATTCTTTCTAAATAAATAGGTTGGTTTTAATATATTTCTTTAAAAATGCAGTTATTTGAATGTATGGATAAGCTTTGATTTCTGGCCTCCTCGGGCTTCCCCGCTCGTTTTCTGGACTGTACGATAGAGGGCCCTGCCCAGGACGAGGTGGTGGGGAATCCCACTTGGCAGGGGCTGGTGGGGAATTATCTGGGGTGTCAGGACTTGTGGGAAACTCTGTTCTCCTAAATGACTCCAGAGTTTTCTTCCTTTCTTTTTCAAGCATTGCACAAGTGTGGCCAGGGAGCCAAGGCCCGGCTGGGCTTGGTCCCTGGCCACTGGAGGAGAGCCCTCTGGCGGTCAGAAGGGACACCTTGCGCCTGCTGCAGAGAGGGCCCGGGGTGCTCATCGAGTCCAAGGCCTTCATTTTACTGATGATAACTGAGGCCCGGAAGGGAAGGCACTTGCCAAGATCACCGGGCTGTGCCCTCAGTTGCAGTTAAGTCTGCAGGGCTCTGGCATAGGCCTGGCTGGATTCAAATCCTCACTCTACCACTTACTAGCAGTGGCAGTGTTGGCAGCATAACCTCTCTGAACCCCAATATCTTCATCAGTAAAATGGGCCACTGATAACTCTCACCTGGTAGGGTTGTAGGGATAAAAATCAAATAAGCCATGTAAGGTGCTTGGCACGGAGTAAGTGCTGTATCGCCAGCGTGGGTTCCCCTGCGACAACACTGATGGCAATCGCTGTGGGTTATCAGGTGATCGGGGGTGCGCTCTGTGGCAGGCGCAGCTGCCTCCGTACTTGACTGGTTGGCTTGTGGAGAATCTGCCTAATGACCCTCTGAAGGAGGTGCTGCTATGGCCCCATTTTGCAGTTAAGAACAGCAAGGGGCCGAGAGGCGATGCGACTTGGTAGGCCTTATCACGGCCTTTACGTTCACAGAGGCCTTTCCCGCTTATGGCTCAGCAAACCAGTGTGTAGAGAAGGGTGCTGGTCTAGCCTCTACATGCCCTCATCTGGGCCAAATCTCCCGCCTTCCTGCCCTCGGTGCACCCGAGTGCCCCCGACTACAGCCGAGGCCCAGGGTGGGTCCAGGCGGAGCAGGGCTCCCTCAACCTTCCCCTCAGGCTGCGTGGGGCCAGGCCCAGCGTGGGCAGGGAGAGAGAGGGGCATTCTTCTAAAGTGCCCCCAACTCAGGCTGAGCTGAGGCTCGGGGCCACTCAGCATGCAGCACCTGTGACATCCCTGCGCTGTGCAGGGCTCTGGGAATGCAGAGGTGGCCCCTGCCCTCACGGAGCTCCCAGACTAGCAGGGAGACAGAAGCTTAGATAATGTGCTAAGGCTCCCCTGAGGGTGAGCCCAGAGAGCACTGGAGACAGACGGCATGGGACCCCACCCCCTAATCTTGGGAAGACTTCCTGGAGGAGGCAGCACCTGAGCTGAGACCTGCAGGTCTAGCAGGGGCGCAGGAGCAGGACAGGATAGATGTCAGGTGAGGGAGGGGAATCTCTGCACCACCAAAGCCCGCCCTGCCCTGGAGTGAGTCTGCTTCAGTGGAGGAAACTGGGGCTAGAGCTGGGGTTGTGGAGCCCCCAGCAACTAGAACGTGCCTTGACCAGTGTCTCCTGGACTTTGGCAGGTGCAGCTGGTCCAGGACCCAGCAACTGGAGGGACCTTCGTGGTGAAGGCAGGTGCCACCCAGCCCCCTGCTGTTCTGCATCCCCCTTGGGACTTTCTCACAGCTTCTGGAAACCCCTACCCAGAACCTGCAGCTGAAGCCTGTGTTCCCTCCAAATCCAAAAGCTGACTGCTCCGCCCGGAGCCTGCCCACTGCCTGCCAGGCAGACTAGACACACACTCTCTCACACACACACTGCCTCGTCCTTGCCAGAGGGTGGAGGACCTGGATTCCAAGGGGGAAGTAGGGGTGACAGCCAGGTCAGGAACTTGGGGAGGCGGCTGCTCCTCAGGGTGGCTCCCACCCCCATCTAGACACCCCTGAAGCCAGGGCTAGGATGTCGCCTAATAGCAGTCTCTGCCTTGCCCCCCCCCAGAGCCTCCCCAGGTGCCACGTGGTGAGCCGGGAGCGGCTGACCATCATCCCGCACGGAGTCCCCTACATGGCCAAGCTGCTGCGGTACTTTGTGAGCGAGGACTCCATCTTCCTGCACCTGGAGCATGTGCAAGGTGAGGGGGCCTAAGGGGCCCCTGCCAGTTCTTTAGGCCTTTGGGGTATCTTCATCACCTACCCCCTTAAAATGCTGGGCCCTGGGGAGGGGCGTGGCTTGCACCAGAGGTGCAGCAGAGACCAGGGGACCCAGCCTTCCTGGAGGCCGATGGCAGATCAGGCTGTCATGAGCCTGTGCGTGGTGCCAAAGGGGAAGGCCATATCGTGGAGAGGAAGTCCACACCCTAGGGGGGCCTGAGGGCATTTATGCAGCTGTCTCCTGTCACCTGTTTCTTCCAGTCTTTTTTCATTTTTCTGGGCTATGACCATCCCTCAGGAGTGGCCACATGGGACAGTGGTGACTGAAGCTATAAAGATAGAAACTGGGTCATGTAGCAGATATTTATTGATTATATGGATGTTTTTTTAAAGAGGTACAATACACATCCTTAGTCATGACAGATAGTCATCATAGGTCTGTGCCTGGCCTTTAAATTTCATTATATCAGTCTCCCTAAAAAAAGGTATAACATGTTGAACACTGGTGAACCCACCACCCAAACCAAGGACATTGACAATACTTTACACCTACGTGGAGATAAGCTTCTATGGTGTGCCAGGTTGTGAGGCTGGGCCCGCTTTAGGTGGGGGGAGGAGGGAGAGAGCGTGCTAGGCTGAGGGCTGGCAGGGAGCGGAGGTGAGGAGACTGGACTAGATCAAGATCTCCAGAAGTTGGAGAGTCCATGCCCAAGACAGGGGAGGCAGGAGTGGGCAGGGACCTGGTGTCCACGCTCTTCTTCTCCCCGTCCCCATGCTCGCCGCTCCCTCTGCATGGCCCAGGAGGCACTCTCTGGTCCCACCTGCTCTCCCAGGCGCACCCCGGGCATGCTGGGCTCAGGTCGGGCTCCACTCAGGAGAGGATGAAGGTTCAGCTCAACTCCCACCTCAGCCTCCTGACCCCAGCGCGGCTCCCCCGCGGCCACACCCCCAGGCAGGACAGAATCTCCCCGGAGCCTCCTCGGACTTCTCAGAGCCTTCTGCCGGCAAAGGAGGCCCCATCCATCAGACCCCAGGGAGAGGCTGAAGAGGAATCCACAGCCAGGACTAGCACTTCCTGCTCCTCGGACCTTCCAAAGGCCCCAAGTGGCCACCTGCACCTTCAAGCCAGGCGGGTGGGCCAGAGTTCGAACCCTAGGCCCCCTTGGGGGCTCCCTTGGGTTCGTGAGGGGGCTGACCGGGTGCTGGGGGCCTGTGGCCGAGGCAGGGGTGAAAGCCACCTGTCAATGCCAGTGGATGGGGCCAGCCAGAGGTGTGGCAGGGCCGCCTGGACCGTGAGGGAGGAGCAGGTGAAGCAGTGGGCGGCGGAGATGCTGGTGGCCCTGGAGGCACTGCACGAGCAGGGGCTGCTGTGCCGGGACCTCAACCCCCGGAACCTGCTCCTGGACCAGGCAGGTAGGTGCCCTGCCCCACCCCTCAGGTGGGAGGCCCTCAAAGCCTCCAGACAGAGAAGGAAAGTTCCCCAAAGTCAAGGGCCCTCTGAGGTTGTCTGCTTCTCCCCTGTCCCCATCCAGCCTTTCTCCCGGGACTCTATGCCCGAGCCTAGTGGCCAAGGTGGAGCTTGGGAATTTGCAGCCTTCTGCCCCTCACGAGCCCAGGCCAGCAGCTCCTAGGTGTACCCCGTGGTCTCTGGGCCTTAGGAGGCTGTGCCCAGAGGGAGGCTCTGCCCAGCGCTGCATTGACTCGTGCCATGTGACTGCTGGAGGAAGCCCTGGAACCCCTTCCCCGTGCCAGCCGCTCAGTGGTGGCTACCCTCAATCTTTGTCCTCCCCTTATTCCTCCCCATATACTGGATGATAAGGTCATGTCCGGCTTACGTATTTTGGCCAGTGGTCAGAAGTGGAGCCCCAGTGCTGCAGGGAGGCTGCGGACAACCTGTACAGTGCCCCAGGCAAGCAGCAGGGAGGGTGGGGTGGCCCTAGATCTTGGGTGCCTTTGTGCGGGTTGAGGCTGGGGGTTGAGGATGACAGAGGGAGTGGGTGATGTCTGGGTAGGATGAGGAGAATGGAGAAGACCCTCTTGGGTGAGGCTGGGACATGTGTTCTCGTTCCACAGAGGTGGGTGGGATTTCTGAGCTGACAGAAGCCTGTGACTGGTGGAGCTTTGGGTCTCTGCTGTATGAACTGCTGACAGGAACGGTGAGTAGCTGGACTGGATGTGTGGGCTGGGTGTTGTGCCAGCACAGCCACACCCCCAGGCCAGGGACACACTCAGCACCCTCACCACACTAGTGCCTATAGCTAACGAGACTGTCAACTTAGGTGAATGACAGCTGAGTTGAGATGGTCAGGGAAGGTTTCAAGAAGAGCCTAGACCCAGGTTTGAAGGGAGTGTAGAATTTGACACAGCCCTTCTTCCCTGGGAGGCCACTGGATCCCTCCCTGCGCCTCCTCCCACCCACGCCCTCTGGGCTGTAACCCCCAGACCTTAGCTAGAGGACAGGAGACAGGGGTTCTTGCATCCAGGCCAGCAGCCATCCTGTCCAGCCTGGGTCAGCCAAGAGCTCAAAGTTCCCCCTGCAAACACCCTTGCACAGGATGTCAACCCTGCCTTGCCTTCCCCTCCTCTGCCTGGCACCGCCCACAAGCTCAGTTTGCATCTGAAGCCAGTTATGTCAGGCAGCAAGGGAGAGGCCAAACTGCATTTGAGCAGGAAACAGCCAGCATAGATGCAGTGTGACCTGAAGTCCAGATGTGACCAGTCCATCCTGGCTCCCTCCTGTTTTTGTCCCACAGCCCAGGGCCTCTGAGAGCCCTGGCTGCCAATAACCCCAGAATGGCCGTTCCTGGTCTCCCACCACCTCTCCAGCCCACAGCTCCTGGCCTTCCTGGGAGTTCCCTGAAGCCCATACTTACCTCCAGCCAGACCCTCTCTCTCCAAAGCTGCACCTTTCTGGGGTGTGGAGAGGTCCTACTTTCTTTTCTTGCCATGCCCCTGCCTTGGCCCTGATGGTAGCATGCCATGGCCTGCTGTCAAGTAGCCCCTGGGGATGTTTTCGTATGGAGAAAAGTTCCAGTGTTGTTCCCAATAGAGTACCCACCCTAACTGCAACCCAAGATTGCTGCTTCTAGCAAGTTTGGGTTCAAACCCTAACTCAGCACAGGTTCCTTTACCTCTCTGAGCCTGCTTCTCATCTTTAACGGCCAACCTATGTCAGGCATTTAGCAGTGTCCGGCACACAGCAAATGCAAAGCAAAAGGCAACCATTGCTACCATCATCCAGGGGAGGGGTGCACAGACTTTCCTGGGGATGCCTCTTCAAAGGCCTTCCCTGTGTCCTCCCAGGCACTGTCCCAGAGCCACCCCTCAGGAATCCAGGCCCACACCCAGCTCCAGCTGCCCGAGTGGCTCAGCCGCCCAGCAGCCTCCCTGCTGACTGAGGTGAGACAGGCCCAGCCTAGAGGCGGCTTCTTGGCCTCAGGGTGGGGGCTGGAGGGAAGAGCCGCGTGTGAACTGTGTGTGCTTCCTACTCGGCATCTGACACAGGAGCAGGAAGGCAACAGGGACAACAAATTTCTATGTGGTGATCAAACACCACCATGCCCTCCAGGGTAAAACTGGGTGTTCTGTGGGCCAGGCTGGTAGAGAGCAAGCCCCTAGGACCCATGGTGATGGGCGTCCCTGGAGGTCAGCTATGCCTCAGTGGTGGGAGTGGGGAGGGCCTGCCCAGAGATCTGACCGGGCCTCTCTCTACAGCTGCTCCAGTTCGATCCCACTCGGCGCCTGGGCGTTGGAGGCAGTGGTGTCAGCAAGCTCAAGTCCCACCCCTTTTTCAGTGCTATCCAGTGGAGCAAACTGGTAGGGTAAGAGGGGCCGAATGGGTGATGGAAGCAGCTGGCCTGGTCTGGATCTCCTCTGTCACCCAAGGCTCCCCCTGGGCCTCGGAAGGGGCAGCTCCTGGAGAAGCGGAGGGCGAGGGGCAGTGAGGCTCACCCTGCTAAGCAGCCTGCACCTCCCACCCACCGGTCAGCAGACACCTGTTGCGTGCATGCCTTGTACCTTTCATGTGGACCTGCCATGTTAAAGGGTGCCTTCTGTGGCACTGGCTCTGAACTACTGACCCCAAAGTTTTGTGACTCACGCACTGCCGTGTTGTGCCCAGCTTGGGTCATCTCTGAAGACTCATCTCAGGATACTGACCTACTGGCTCAGTGGACCCAAACCAGGCTGTCCTGGCTGGTCATCTTGCAACAAGTGGGCCTCTTCCACCAGAAGCTGTTCCTGTGGTGGGGGTCGGGGGAGGCTGGGAAGGAATCTGCAGTGTGGGGTGGGGACAGGATGATCCACTCTCCACTCTTGATGATGCCCCCATCTTGTGATTTCAGACTTTGGAAAATAAAAGGAAGGGTGGTGAGGAAAATAGAGAAGGAATGGGAGGAAAGAGGGGAATGCACAGCTCTGCCACTTGGAATAAGTTTGAAAACAGAATAAAGAGGATTCCCCCCCCCAGCTGGCCCACCTGTGTGGGGGAGTGGGGAGCCTGCTCCAGGGGTCTGAGAGGACATGGCAACTCAGCCTCCAGGCGAAAGCAGCTAAGACAAGTCGTGCCTATGAGGATTCCCTTCTCAGGCAATGGTTCTGCGGACCACTCTGCATTTTGGTCTTGAAGTTCCACTAAATCACTGCCCACTGTGACTTTATACCCTTTTGGAATAAGAAGCCACCAAACACATGGAACAATACCCATACTCAGCCTGAAAGGAGATGTTTCCAGTCTCTGAAGAACTAGGGTGAATAGCCACCCTAAAGACAATCCCCTCAGCTTTGGGGGCTCCTCTCAGGACTCACGCTATCACTGAGGTATGGCACCTGAGAAACTTCCACACCGCTGCCCTAGATCCTTTCCCGCCAATGTCTGTCACCACTAGGTGGCGCCTCGGACACTTCACCAGTCTGACTCTGAAGGCCCAACTCTCAGGCGAGAGACTCGTGCCCTGGGGAGGCACCACAGTGCACCTCAGGCTCCTCAGGAGGATTCTAGGGGCAGAGAGAACATGGGAAAGCACAGCCTGTGTATGATTCTCTGTGGTGCACATGCTGGCTTTCCCTGAGGTTTGCCTAGCCCCCAGTAAAGCCTGCTCTTGCCTGTGGTGTCCTTGGTCCATTAATGCAAGATTGGAAGGCTCCCCCCAGAGAAGCTCCACCAGAGTGAGCTTAGAGGCTGCTAGGAAGTAGGAAGCAGGACTGGTGGGAAGTGGCATTTCCCCACCCCTGCCGAGCAGCCCCAGGCCTCAGAAGTGGTGACTGGGTGTGGGGGTGAGGACTGAGCTCTGTGGAAGCTAGAAAGAAAATCCTTGGAAGGAGGTCATGGTGCCTGCGGTGAATACTAGTTTAATCCTCACAGTGACCCCTTGAGATAGAGGGTAGCTCCTGAGAAAACAGGCTCAAGATAAAAGCTACAACCTAGTCAGAGCCTGGTAGAGCAGGTTCACAAGTTGGTGTTCCTTCAGCTACTCTCCCTAAGTCCGGCCAGACCACTTGCAACCACTGCTTCATGAAGTAGAAGTCACTTCTGGAGCTTCTGGGCCTCCTCCATCCAACATACACTACACACATCCGGCACTGTGTTCAGCTCCTAGTTCAGAATACTGTCCAGTTGGCTGACCTTTTAGAACAAATGGGACAAATACCTCTGTAGATTTACTAGAGAAATTAAAGCTTCTAGCACAAGGCCCTGGACAGATAATTTTAAAGTTCTTCCTTTCACTGAACTTAATTTTTTCTACCTACTAGCTGTTAAGTTCTACCCTCTGGGACCCCTTCCCATGCAGACCTTCCAATGAGGGATGGCCTCACTGCCAGTGAGATCAGCAGACAGAAACTGTGTGGAAAGCTAAGGCTGTGTTTGAACTGGGACACCATCGTGCCTGTCATTTGCAGTCAGTTTAGGACAGTCACCAACTCTGTCCGTTCACTCTCACAGAGCACTGCTCCAGAGGGAGGGATCTACCCTCATTTGTTCACACAGACCTTGAGTATCTTGGTACACGTGTGGCAGTCCAACCCGAATGAAATTATGAGATGCCCCCTCACCCCTAGTCTATCCCAGAAATAAGGCAAGCCCCCCCACAAAAATGCACATGTCTACCGATGTGTTGGAGTGGCTTCACAAATGTGTGGACCCCAATTTGTCTTCAAGAACATGGTTTGACAGGCTCAAGGGGCTCACTGAAAGGAAGCAGGGGACTGAGACTATTAAGCTTTCCTGGCTGCAGTCAGGGTTCTCCTTTTGTTAAATTAGTACAGCACTTACTTCAGAAGTATAGGGTATCAGGATAACTGATGGGGCATTAAGTGGCTTTCAATGCTAACCACCACCATCTGGAGCAACAGTGCTGGGGACTTATATAGGCTTAGTAACCAAAAGGAACACAGATACAGGAACCCTATTTGAGAACATTTGCCCTTTAATTTGCATTTAAAATCAGTTTCTTTAAATATTTTAGTTACAAGTTCTGAATAGTGAAGACATAGCAGATGCTGCAGGCACTCAGTATTTGCTCCCCCTCCCCCTCCCCCCATCCCAGGCCTTGCTTCTTGGCTCAAGATACAAAAGGGCACTCTACACTAACTGGCCCCAGTGTCAAGTGTCAGCAGCCTCGGGCCTGGATGTAGTTGGTTACAAAGCCATGAATCTCAGTAGCTTTCATGACAAGATACTTGCATTTAACCATCCTCCATGGAATTCCAATGATTGTGCCCCAAACCAAGGGCATTACCTTAGAGACCTAAAGCCATTTCACCACTGTACTAACACCTTGAGGCTGGTTCCTACCACAGTCAATCCTCCCCTAGACCAGTGTCCTGCAGAGGAAGAGCCAAGGCTCTGCTCCCTACAGGCTAGAACGCAGGAAGGAACAGAACCGCCTCCTCAGTCCATATGCTTATACCAACCCGAATTTAAAAGCTCAAATCAACCTGAGCCAGTCCAGAGGAGGCATCCCCTCCCCAGTCTCTAAACCAGGCTCCCCACACTCGGTCCCACTGCCATGATGTGCCAGAATCTGCTTAAATGAGAACAATGTGCTAGAATGGTTCTTAGCAGCCTGGAAAGGGTTGGCACTATAGCAACGTGCGATTGTGCCAAACACACCTTCCTGGCATGAACCTATGATGGAGAGTGTGAGGGCAGGCCTGCTCTGCCCCATCTATGATTATAACTTATGACCTCAGGGGGCCTCTGCCCTCTCCTCCAACTCAACAATCCCCTGGCCTGTGCTTCCTGGAAGAGGTAGAAGAGGCATCTTGAAGTCAATGACAGCTGAGAATGAAGGTGCCGTTTTAAGAAGCAAAGCAGCACCTCTTCACCTGTGTTCAATACCTCCACACAGGTGGAATCAAGTGAGAACGTGCACAGCCAGGACAGAGGCTGCTGTGTGCTTGGGAGGCACAGCATCCTCCTAGACGTCTCTGGAGAGCAGACTTTCAAAAGATGGAAACATAATCACATGGTCCCGGTGGTTTCCCTATAGTGTACTGGGGAGAAGCAAAATCACCTTTGCAGAGTGCTGATTGAAGAAAGGCAGGAATAAAATGAGCATCCATTAAGGCGCTCTCTCTCTCAAGCCCAAGGAAATAAGATATTTGTAGGTGAGAGACGGGTACAGAGAGGGAGAGAGCCTGGCAGGAACACCAAGAAAGGACCTTCGACTGCTGGTTAGATAGTGCCCTGCTTCCTTGCTTGAGGCCAACAGCATGTGCCTGCCTGTCACCAGGCTAACCTGGGACTCGTGAGGGGACAGGGAGAAGACCAGTTTTCAGTTCCTGCATGACAGATTTGTAGGGCATGTGGCTTTCTCCTAAAGGTCCAGGAGGAGGACTCTGGGATCCTCTACTGCTGCCTTGATTTTGCGGAGGAAAGTCACGGCCTCTCTGCCATCAATCAGCCGGTGGTCGTAAGTCAGTGCCACGTACATCATGGGCCGGATTTCCACCTACAGAAAGGAAGGGTAAATAGGTCTGTCTTCCACAGGTAGGAGAAAGCCCTGCTGGAGGATATGAGAAAGTATGGTCCATAGGAAAGTTCCTAGCTCCAGAGCCTTTCCCACTGATCTTGCCTCTGGATACTAACATTTTCAAACACCAAGCCTTACCCCTCAGTGCAAAGTGCTCCCAACTCAGAAAGTTTAACCAATGGAAGTCTCCTCACCTCCCCATGACTGCCTTTAAAAATAACAAAAAACTCTGCCCTCTAACTTATCTATTGTCCATGGCGAAGGTTTTTCCTTCAGTTCTTGCTACATGAAATTGTTTCTTTGGGGTTATAGTTAAAAAAAATTTTTTTGGCTGAGCATGATGGCTCACGCCTATAATCCTAACACTTTGGGAGGCGCCAAGGCAGGAGGATCACTTGACCTGAGGAGTCTGAGAACGGCCTGAGCAAGAGTGACACCGTGTCTCTACTAAAAATAGAAAAATTAGGCAGGCGTGGTGGCACACACCCGACGTCCCAGCTACTTGGGAGGCTGAGGCAGGAGGATCGCTTGAGCCCAGGAATCTGAGGCTGCAGTGAGCTATAATGACGCCACTGCACTCTACCTGAGGTGATAGAGTAAGACTGTCTCAAAAGTTAAAAAAAAAAAAAAAAATTTTTAATCTGGGGTCTACAAATTCTGAAACTGTATACAAACGGGGGTGCATGGGCATTTTCTGGGGAGATCTGTGGATTCTGGATTTACAAAGGAGTTAGTGACCCCAAAAGATTACAGCTCATGCCTGTAATCCCAGCACTTTGAGAGGCTGAGGTGGGAGGATCACTTGAGGCCATGAGTTTGAGACCAGCCTGGGCAACAAAGCAAGATCCTGTCTCTGCAAAAAATTAGCAGGGTATGATGGTACATGTCTGTGGTCCCAGCTATTCAGGAGGCTGAGGCAGGATCACTATCACTCAAAGTTATAGTGAGCTGTGATCACGCTACTGCATTCCAGCCTGGGTGACAAAGTGAGACCCTGTCTCAGAAAAAAACCACCAAATATAGTCCGTCCCAAGAAAGCTTTTTCCTACCAACATATCTTCCAAGAGCCAGCACAAGTCCCTTTGTCCCTTTCACTTCATTCCCTCAATTCCCAGAGAACCTCTAAGCTTTACTATAGAACTGGGCAGCTCGTAGACTGCTGTGTATTATTGTCCTGTTTCCCTGGGGGGAAGAAACCATGTCTAAACAGTATACCCCACTCCCTACGGCACCCAGACAATGAAGCTTGTTGACTCATCCCAGATGAAGGAACATGCCTTCTCAGCTCAGTGGCTCTCAAACTTTAATGTACATCAGAATCATCCATTATTCTGCTTCTGCAAGTCTGGAACAGAGTCAGAGAATTTACATTTCTAACAAGTTTCTAGATGATACTGATCCACAGACCATAATTTGAGAATCAGTGCTTTAGTTAGTAATTAGAAACTAAGAAATGGAACCGAGGCCTGAAAATTATAATGAATGTTTTATAATTACCATTTAGTTCAATATTCCTCTCATTATCACCTAGCCACTAGGACTTGAGAAGTGACGGTTCCTACCTTGCCTCCAATGGCCACTGGCCTGTCAAAGATGGCATGCATGCCCAGGATGGCAGACTGAGGGGGGTTGATAATGGGAGTTCCAAAGAGTGAGCCAAACACGCCTCCATTGCTAATGGTGAAAGTACCGCCGTCCATATCTTCAATGGCAAGTTCATTCTTTCGGGCCTAAAAACAGATTTCATAATTGAAATATTAAGCCAATCCAGCTTCTTTCACCCAAAGTCCAGAAAGCTTGTATCAATAGTATAAGCTCTGGCTTTCACACGACACTTGTTCAGCAGAGAAGACTGACTAGTGCTCCACCAGAGAAAAGACATAATTGCATAAAACTGAGGAAATCAAAGACGACCTTTTCCTTTTCAGCAGGTCTCATTTGATGAGATGTCAGTCCCAAGAGTGTAGTAAGCTCTGCCAGAGATCTGTACTTACCTCTGTGGGCCACTGCCTTCCCCAGGGGCTGTGCACTTACAGAACCAAGTGAGGCTCCAGTTCCGTGAGCACTGCTTACTGGAGAGTCCTGCCTTCCACAGGCTCTCTTCCCTCACCTGCCCCGCAGTTCAGACACATGCTTCTTTCTACTTTACCTTCTCTCCCAGTTCATTGATGGTCCGTTCAATATCTGCATAATTCATAGATTCTACATTCCTGATGACAGGAACCACCAGACCCTGAGGGGAGTGAAAAGCTGTTTCAGTTGCAAATTAATAGTACCCTTTATGCTTACAACTCCCCTGATTCAAGCCAACAGGTATCCCCTCCTTAGCATACCTTCATTATTCAATGTGATTAACAGAAAACCTAAAATATTTAGGCCTGATGTTAAAAGAATGTAGTATGGTGAAAAAGAAAAAAACAGGTTACTTTTACTAACTCCCTTCTAAAAATTACAGAAATGCTTTCTCCTGTGTGATCTGCTTTTTTTTTTTTTTTTTTTAAAGAGAGACAGTTTCACTCTATTGCCCAGGCTAGAATGCAGTGGCCCAATCACAGCTCACTGTAACCTCAAATTCCTAGGCTCAAGTGATCCTCCCGCCTCAGCCTTCTGAGTAGCTGGGACCACAGGTGTTTGCCACCATGCCTGGCCTTTTTTTTTTTTAGAGATAGGGTCTCACTATGTTGCCCAGGCTGGTCTCAAACTCCTGGCCTCCCAAAGTGCTACGATTACAGGCGTGAGCCACTGCACCCGGCCTGGTCTGCTTCTTCATCTAGATATGGTGAGGGTCCAAGATCAATGCTCCCCACCTCGTGCGCCAACATACCCGTGGGGTGGCCACCGCAACACTGATGTCAATATAATCCCTATACACCACCTCTTTGGTTGTATCGTCAATCACTGTGAGAGAGAAAACATGTTACAACAACACCCGAGGCTGAGGCTAATCAGGTAATATTTGTATTAACAGAGTAAAAATCTGCAGCGTTTGAACAGTGTGGGCTGACCAACCAACATGAAAACCACTGCATTATGAATGGCAGTTGGCACTTCACTTACTCCCTTCGCAAGTATAGTATCTTCCTAGCCCTCTACCTAAGCCCAAGCATAGGAGCAACCATTTTTTGACAACCCTCAGAAGGGCTCAATATACTGGCTTACATAGGATAGGTATGCACTAAGTTCCTGTTAACTAGCTTCTACTTAAGCCCTCCCTTAGCAGGGAAAGTCTAGGGTTAACAAACAAGTGCTCCAAAAAGGGCAAATTAGCAAAGGAAAGGGGGTTTAAGGATGCTACCCATTCTGCTTCCCACTCTAAACAAGGGGAGGAGGGAAAGAAATTCAGGAGGAAGCAGGGTGGTCTGGCTTTAAGTACGTTACCTTGAGAGACAGCAAACCAACAGCTAAAAATTTACCTCTAGCACTTATGGGAAAATAAAGGCTTGGGAATCTGTTCCACAAAAAGAAAGTCTATGTTGTACTGTTAAATAAGACACCCAGGGAAAGCATGTAAAGAGAAAGACAGACCAAGAGAACTTTGAGAGAGGCCTACAAGTATGGACAGGAAGAAGGGGCCACTGAAAAAGATGGAGCGTTCCAGTCTGGAAGGCGTGAGAATGGGAGAAACAGAGAGAAGTATACATTTGAGCAAAACAAAGACAGCCCCTCTATATACCTAGAGTACACAACTCAATGGGAGGAACTCATACTTCTATTTCTAGATCTTTAGGACCTTTGACAGTGCTGTGGATTGCAAAAGTGTCACTGTCTCCTTTCCAATCTTCCAGGGAACAGAGAAGTATCTCAATAGGAAAAAGAGAAGTGCTTGTTAGGTCAACACTTCAATGACGTACGTGAGCAAAAGGAAAGAAAACAAGCACCAAGTCCACAAAAGAGAGGCCAAGCCCAAGGCTTCCCAATGAGGCCCATCAACCTGAGATCAAAGATCACCCTGGAGCGTATGCCAAGTGTGGAAGTTGGGCTCCAAGATGACAGAGCCCATGGGGTGGGGTTGGGGTGAAGGGCAGCTGGAATATGAGCTTCCACCCTGACGTGAGACAGCCTGGAGAGCTGGGCTGCCCCAGAACTGCCTGCTGCCAGCACAGCTGCTAAGCTGTGCACTGGAAGAGAAACTATTCTGCTTAGCTGGTGAGGAAAAAGTAATCATGATGCCATTTCAGGAGAGTGAATCAAGAAATCCCTGAGGAAGATATTCATGTTTCCACAGGTATGAATAAACAGCATTGGTCTGTTGAATTCCTGAATATGGAAGATCTGTGTTCATACACCTACCTCCCAGGACTTCTGCAACTCTGGCCACAAGAAACTCACCTGCATTTACAACAGGCTGCTCCTGCAAGGCAAAGGCTGAAGCCTTCACAAATGCCGACATGAAGCCTAATTTGAGGTTATGCTTCTTCAGAAAAGCATCTTTATGCCGAGCCCTCATATCTTGGATGTTACTGTAAAAACATATTACAAAACAAACTGACCACAAACCCTTAATTTTAACTTTCATACAGGTTTCCAACTCCGTGTACACAATTGGGTAAGTTCCCCTTACTCTGTACCATCTACCTTAGTTCAAGTTTTGAAACAGTCCACTAGAGGTCAACACAATAGCCTTGTTCTTTTACAGAAACTGGATATAAAGAAAATCAGATCCAATCTGTCTTTAACACATTAACTGCCATGTCAGTTGTATTTAACTCATGCTACTTTTGAGCCTCGTGAAGCATATATAACTCATGTCTCTTCATCTTGGGAGCTATTTTTCAAGTTGCATATAACTCATGCACAGAAAACGATAAAAATACGTTTTTCATTAAATTAGAAAGGATCATTTTGTTTTCAAAGTTTTCACATTCTTTCTTCATAATAGAACATCATGACCTCAAGCAAAAATTTTTTTTCTAGTATGGCAGAAGGTTGAACCCTTTACAGGACTCCTTCATGTTCTAGAAGTCACAGATTTCCAGTGACAGATATATGAACAAGAGATTATAGCACATCATCCTTGCTCTAGATGAGAAAATTGTGAGCTACCCATTCTGGAAAAAAAAATGTTTTGAAGTATAAAAAGTCTACAAAATTAAGCAACATTCTTTTGTTAGAATTCTTTTTAAGCTATCAACAGAGCTTTATTCATTGGAAACTGGGCCAGATGGACCCCTTAAGGAGCTGCAAGCACCTGCACCCCAGCCCCTTCTGTTTGGACCCTAGTAAAATGTGCACAGTCTGCCCACCCCAAAAATACAGAAAGCTTCACAAATTTGCATGTCATCTTTGCACAGGGGCCATGCTAATCTTCTCTGTGTTGTTCTAATTTTAGTATATGTGCTGCCGAAGTGAGCACTAGAATTACTTTTAAAAAACTACCAAACCTGATGACTTCCTTGTGACATTCCCATTTCCTGATAAGCAGAGAAAAGTAGTTGTGACTACACATGGTAAGGTACAACCCAGTGTTCTTTCAGGCTCATGGGAGCATCAGTAGATTCATGCTTCATCTCTCCAGAGTCAGCAGTTCTATCTACTTGTTCCTTCAAACAGGTAATAACACCCACCACCACATGTGAGGGTCAGGGCTGGGCACCAAAGATACAAAAAAATCAAGACATAACTCTTGCCCTTAAGGTTAGTTTAATGGATATGGTTTCCTTGGTATTTAGAAAAGTGGCCTTGTGTCGTTTAGGCTTGTCCCCTTCAAATTAAGCAGCAAGCCTCTGAGAAGCCTTTGCAGCATGAAAACAGCTTTTATCCTTTTGGCATATCCTTTTATCCTTTTGGTTTTTACATATACACAGTGCAGAGTCAGTGGGAAACGGCTTTCCCATCATTTTGCTGCAGAAACCTCAGTATTTACTGGAATAGAGTTCTGTGAAGAAAATCGAATTTGACTATCTCAGGCCCAAATGCTCAGTTCTCCCTTTCTCACTATAATGGCCTAATTCAACATTAGCATGAAAGATAAGATGTGGTACAACTTTCACTGCCCCCTTCAGATCTTGTTTTTTAAAAAGGAAGTTTTCCTAGGGGGTACTGATTGGGTTTAAAATGCTTGTTTTCCTGAGTCTAACCTTATTTAGTGCTAGGATTACCACCCTAAAGACATTACTGGTTCCCAAGACACAAGAGCTGCAGGCCAGGGAAAGAGAAGTGATAAAACATCTCTGGTCTCAAACCTACCGAAATGCTATTGTCTCGTCATTAAGTAGTTTCTATTTCAGAGCTCTGCCCTTGGAGGCAGAGGCTGGGACAACAGGGGAAAGGAGGTCGTCTCAGAAAAGTCCCTCATGGGTTAGCTGATCGGCATGAGACCCCAAGGGCACTCAATCTAAACAAGATTACTGGCTGCAGGGAGACTGCAGGCCATTGTTAAGTGACACCTCGATTAGCTGCTGAAAGGAGATCCAGCTATTACACTTCCTTTCCAATCAAAGCTGTTGGGCCAACTGCATCTTTCAAGGCCACAAATATTTACATGTTTTGTCTTAAGAAATTGGGTAGAATTTCAAAGTCCAATTCAATTTGTGTACAATTTGGCCTTAATGCACTGAAACGTAAGCTGCAGCCTTTTGATTCATTAGTCAAGGTCCTTCCCTACATCCTATGGATAGGAGAGGAATCTTTGGCTTGAATGACAACCAGTCTCTTTAGAAAGCTTCCTAATGGAAGACAGCTAGTAAAACAGGCCCCACCCTGTGAAGAATGTCACAGCACACTATCAAGAAACTACTCGTTTCTATTTTTTAGACCCGTTTCAAAGAAAAACAAATTTCCCTAATGAAAAGTAGATTAGCAGACTAAACCTTCAGGACAAAAAGCAGCAGAGATGTCCTGAAGACTTTATATACTTATTTCAGGAGTAAATTATCAAGTCTTATCCTGGCATTCACAACGTTCTGAAAGATGAATCTAGCCTTCTTTCATTCTTCCTATCCATATTCCTCACAGTGAAAATGATCTTTGACTATTTCTCAAATGTCTTCTTTCCTGCCCATATCATGGTCCATACTGTTAACGTCAGAATGACCTTTCTCCACAACACTATCTGACAAAACGCTAGTCACTCTTGAAGGCCTTTTAAAAATGTTTTCAAGAAATCTTTCCTTACCCTACCCCTTGCTACCGCTAACCTCAACCTCAAAATGATCTCACTTTCTTCTCCATTTTATACTTTTATCCTTCCAATACTTATTTTTCTATAATACTTTGTGTTCATCCAAACCAGAAGGTAAGCTCTAAGGCTAGAGGCTGGCTCTTTTTCACTCATCTTTGTATCTCCCTTGTATACAGTTAGCATTCAAAACATGTTTGTCAAATTTCTCTTCCCTGTAGTGTTGATATGTGAACACATCAAAATCCTGAAGAAAACAGGTGAGTTAACAATTAGTTCGCTACAGAAATGGGTATATGCAGTGAATTAGACTCGGTTAACATTATGAGGTTTTTACTTAAAAACACAACTTGCTTTCCATTTTACTATTAAACCTGGGAAAAGTGAAAGATATGACAAGCCTATCTATGCCTTGTCACCTCCCCGATTCTGAGTCACCTAGGAACATGCATAAGGAGCAGTCCCCATGAGAAGAATCAGGTGCAGTACTCCAGGTCAAGGGTTCTCCACCCCAAGGGGTAGGCCTGCGTGTAAGCCCTATTGATCTGGTTGCCCCATCTCTGCTTGGCAACCTGACACAGTCAGAGTGTAAAACTATATCACGAGATACAGGCTTAAAAGTCTAAAAGGCTAAGTTTTTTAAGTCACAGAAGAGGTAAGTATACTAATCAGGTCAGTCAATTAAGAGATGAAGTCAATGGGTCTGGGTCACTGTGTAAGTCAACAACAAAGCACAGAAGTACCTCTTTCCTGTCAAGTTAGGTTTGGAATCAGCACTAGATCGAGACTGAGGCAAGTTCAAGCGTTCTCCAAGAAAAAGGGGAATGGGGGTAAGAGGGACTGGATACCCCACCTCATGTCAATCTCATTGAAAGTGGTCAGCATTGCACATGTATTCTGAGCCTCCTTCAGACGCTGAGCAATGCGCTGCCGCATCCTGTTCATTTTCTCCTGAAAGTTAAAGTAAAAGTGAAAAGTATTGACAATCTGGTCTCCCTGGGTCAAGCATTCCCCATGTAGTCAGAAAGAATACTCACTCAGCTTGCCAGGAGTGGATGGCCAAGGACTACAATACCTAAGTATAACAATAGCTCCAGGCCTCCTTTCCTGTGGTGGCCTCCTTCTTCTGAGCAAGAACATGAAAACATAGACCAAAACTACTCACTCAGATGTGCCTGAAGTTTGATCAAGAACGGAGTCCCAGGAATAGTTTGATTCAAAAACCAAAACAACTTATGAAAAGCAAGAATGTGGTATAGGTCTAACCAGCATAAGAATCATAACATAAAGGGCAATTTCTATTAATAAAGACTCATATGAGGATAGCTACTTGTGGAACAGAAACTCATGAGAAACAAATTTTTGAGGCTATCATATCTTTAGGAAGTATTCTCAAGTAGAGGAACCCACCCTCTTGACCATACTTCTTTGAGGTTTTATGTCTGCACCTGACTGCTACTGCTACTGCACAGTATCCCTTAGCTACAGCTAAGTATCTTGGAAATCTAGGAATAGAGCTCTCTAAACCAGCTCTCTGAAGTGTGTGACATTGTGGGAGGGAGGGGGTGTGTTACTAAGCTACCATCCCTTGCAAATATTTTACTTACCCGAGGTATTTCATTGGTAAGCATAGTATAGTGGAAAAACCACAGGACATGTGTTCAGAAAACCTTAGGTCTTAGTCATATCATTTGATGGTTATGTGACTATGAAGAACAAGTTACTTCCTAAACTCCACTTGTGTTAAGGCTGAGGGAATGAGCTGCCAACAATTTAAAGGTAGGCATCACCATACCCACACTCCACTAATCTTAACACTGCCCCCTCTACCTCTTTCCTGGAAGAGGTCCTCAGAGGCTTACCCGATGTTCTGAACGCAGACCTTTGCCAGCTCCTGGCTCAGCTAGTGGAGGGGCAGCAGTGGGTTTTACTGCGGACACTGAAAATGAAGACAGAGGGTACAGCTGCATCAGAGAAGGAAAGAAATATCTGAGTATGTGCCAGTGCTTTCGTACTGTACTGTCACTTAATCCTCAAGATGTTCTGAAATGTATTAGTATCATTCCGACTTCACTGATGAACTGCTCAGAGAAATTAAGTAACTAGCCTAAAGTAACAAAGTTAGTAAACAGAAAGCTGGGATGCAAACCCAAGTCGTCAGATACAAAGTCTAGAGTTTTTTCTACAAAGCAGCCAACCTAGCCTGTTCAGAACCATGATTAGTCTCAGATTTTATCCAGTGAGGGAACATGGTATTAGATGAGATATTCTTCTCCCATGTGAAGACACGTGGGAGTTGAAGGCTTACCTGGTTTGCTAGAAGCAGGTTGTGAAGGCGAGGGCACCGGTGGCATCTGAGTGGGTATGGGTGCTGCAGAGGGAGGAGGAACTGCTGCTGTAGGCTCTGCTTTTGCGGCTGCGGCAGCAGGAGCTTCAGCTGGCTTGGCCTTAGCAGGAGCAGCTAAAAAAAGATAGACGGATAGATGCTATTGGCACTGTCTGGAATGAAAGGCAACCAAATCACATATACTAAGGAAAATTTCATGGCAAAAGCTGTATTTCCAATCAACAAGTGTCTACTGGGTATCTGCTATATGCAAGGCAAATAATGACAAAAGGCACTATTCTCTATTCCTCTGGGTCCCTAAATGTCCTATATCAGCTAACAGGCTCAATTCAGCTGCCCTCCTGATTTCACAGATATCTACTGACCATCAAATTCAGCAAGTATTTTCAAAGAACCTACTAAGCCCAAGGAAATGTAAACTTCCAAGCAAAAAAGCCCAGGTAATTTTTTAAATGTTGACACATACACACAAAAGTATTTCTAATTATGGTAATACTGACATAACATAGCAACATATTTTAATATTACATATGGACGAATACTCAACTATATTAAAAAATAAATTTATTCAAGGGCTCACTTAGGTATTAGTTCAAAGCATTTTACCCAGGATGACCTCATAAAATCAATGAGGTGGTCAAGTAATAAGTTTACAACTTTAAGTGAGATGTGTATTTCTATTTCTATTGTTTTTTAACCATTTGTTCATCACATCCAGTTTTATAGTTAAGATGGACTTCCTTCCACAGAGAGACTCGCTCTTATTTCCCAGCCTTCTACTATACATTTTTTCTACTTGGAGCTTCTGGTCTTGCCCCATCAACCCTCAATGATGCCATTAGCATCTTTCTGCTTGATTTGTTTAACAATGAGAAAGAGATTTTAGTAGTTACAACATTTAACTAAGAGAAAAACAATCATTTTCTTTTCTTATCTCTAATACTGACTATGAAGTCCAGTACAAATTCTTGTTTCTCATTTCTTCCCAAAAGAAATACCAATCCGTTCTAGAGATAGACGTGAATAGAAACTACACTGAATTCCTCATAATAGGCAATGAGCATTTCCTTTGAACATCATGTCAGTGATCAAAACATTTAGAATTTTAGAGTATTTAAGATCTTGGATTTTCAGATTAGGGATATTCAACCTATGTATCTTTAAGAAAATATCCAGCATAAGAAACATCCACGGTTAGATTTCAGTTTCTTGAGCATCAAGGAAAAGAAAAAACAACAACAACAACAACAAAAAATAAATAAAAAGAAAAATATTAAAAAAAAAAGAAACATCCATGGAAAGAACAGAGTATAAGATTTTTTAAAATAACCTTTTCTTTTAGACTCTGACATTTAAAGTTCACACTATATAAATATTACCCTTCTCATCCCTTCAACTAATGGCAGTTGGAATGCCAAAGACTCTTTGAGGTATCAGGGAATTAGTACATCATGCTCAGTCCCAATCCCAAGGGGGAACACTGGAGACCTTGACCACCCGGAGAACTTCTTTACCACCAGTTTTCCTGAGTGTGAAAAGAGGAGTGCCTCCTTCGACTTTTCCTCCATCAGGTACCAAAAGAGCTTCAATTACGCCATTTGCTGGTGATGGAACCTGCACGGATGTCTGGAAAAGGAACACAGATGGAGAAAGGGTCCAACTTTTTATCCAGCATTAGAAAATTAATTGTATTGAATTTCCAAGATGAGTCACAAGAGTTGAAAAACAGATATACAAGCACAGAAACACCTAAGGCCACACTTTCAGAGTAAGAGTGATGACAAGTCATTGCTATCGTGAAGATTTACCCTTTCTGTCCTTTCTCAGAAATACCAGAGCAATATTCAGTTCATGTGTTTTCCAAGTGATACACAAAAAACTGGAAGTGGCTCATTCACCACACACACAAAAAGCTATGAGACTAAAGCGACTAAATAAAGTACATAGTGTAATACATATAACACAGGACAATCTATAATTAAACTGAATTTTTTTTCTTTTTAATGAGCTAATCTAGCACTTTTACAATGGAGATTAAAGCTAATTAAAAATTATCTTTGTCCCCTATGGTGAGTTATTAGAAAAAAATTATCTTTAAACAACAGTTAAGTACCTATTTCTTTCATTAGAAACTAAGGGAAGACCATGAAAAATTGACACTAATATAGGACAAGCCTACCTTGTCAGTTTCAATCTCACAAACCACTTCATCTTCTGCAACTGTGTCCCCAACAGCTGAAAAGATAATTACAGGCTACCTGTTAGGGGAGCCTCTGGTAGCCACAAAACCCTTTTTGGCAGGTGTGTTATAAGACCCTTTCCTACCAGGGTAGAGCCATAAATTCCAGATTATCGTTGGGGGAAGGAAAGGCTTTTAGAAAGCATTTAAACTTAAGATGTGTGGGGAAACTAAAGCTTACCTTTCTCCCACCTGACATCTCCCTCTGTGACAGATTCTGCAAACGCTGGGGTTTTGACTGTAACTAAATCATCCTCTAGGAAAAAAGCAAAAAAGAAAATCACAAGTAGTCCATTTTTCCTTTTTAATGTTTTTCAGTAATTAATCTAAGTCAATTGTTGCTCTTCCAATTAAAACTCCATTCCCAAGAAGGTAGGTACTTACTGCACACAGCCGTAGTTCTGAAGAAGCGAACACCGAAGACACTACTGTTGTTAATGCTACAAAAGAAACATGAAAGTAACTCCTTTAGCAGGGTAAGCACTCACAGCTTAGTCTAGTTAAGGACCCATGGGTCATCTTCCCTTTAAATCAGTGATTTTTGGTTTTTTGAGACAGAGTCTTACTCTGTCTTGTTATAACACTTGCTATAGTGAGTGGAGTACAGTGACATCACCGTAGCTCACTGCAACCTCAAACTCCTGGGCTCAAGGGATCCTCCTGCCTCAGCCTCCCAAGCCGACTGGGACTACAGGACAGCCACAATGTCTGGCTAATTTTTCTATTTTTAGTAGGGATGGGGTCTCGCTCTTGCTTAGGCTGCTCTGGAACTCATGAGCTCAAGTGATCCTCCCACCTCAGCCTCCCAGAGTGCTATGATTACAGGCATGAGCCATGGTGCCCAGCTAAATCAGTGATTCTTGACCAGGGATGCCCATCAGAGTCACTCAGGGGGAACTTTTTTCAAAGTTCACATGTTCAGGCCCGCCCCCAGAGATCTGACTCAGCAGGTTGGAGTAGAGCTGGATGACCCAGGTGACTTAAATAGTGAGCTTCTCCCGTGAGCACAGGACCCTGCGCTGCAATGCATTCCCAGCTCTCACAAAACAGAGACATTTGCTTCTTTGAAGGAAAAAATTCACACCATGGTCCTTTGCAAACCCACCAATAGGACTTAATTTCCTGTTTAGGTCTCTTTCTTAACTAAATCCAAGTAAGATATATGATATGCCCTCAGGGTACATGCCATTATGCCAGGTATAAAGGAATTTCTATCCTCAGGATTATAGATTTTAATAAGGCAGCAAGATGAGACCAGTAACAGGGAAGTAAAACAAGGTGTTCTGTCAAAAAACCCTAAAACAAAACAAAAACAACCCCAACAACCCATATGGTATCTCCTATTCTGTTCTCTTGCTAGGAGGCAGCACATCAGTCCATTCTAGACTCATTCGAAAGGAACCTCAAAGACCAGGCATTTTCTGATATGACATTTACATTAAACAGTATAAACTGAGTCAGGTGTTGTGGTTCACGCCTGTAATCCTAGCACTCTGGGAGGCCAAGGTGGGTGGATCGCTCAAGGTCAGGAGTTCGAAACCAGCCTGAGCAAGAGCGAGACCCCGCCTCTACTAAAAATAGAAAGAAATTAATTGGCCAACTAAAATATATATAGAGAAAGAATTAGCCGGGAATGGTGGTGCATGGCTGTAGTCCCAGCTACTTGGGAGGCTGAGGCAGGAGGATCGCTTGAGCCCAGGAGTTTGAGGTTGCTGTGAACTAGACTGACGCCACGGCACTCTAGTTTGGGCAACAGAGTGAGACTCTGTCTCAAAATAAATAAATAAACAGTATAAACTGGAGAATAATATCACTTTGTATGCATATAGCCATTAACAGTAGCTAACACTGGGGAGTGAGAAATGCAGACATATTCTGTATCTATAATCACCTGATACATATATATACAATTTGGAAGAATGATTTAGAATGATGGGGACTTTCACTTTTTACACTTCACAATTGTTTGAATATTCTAAAATAAGCACCTTTATAATAGAAAAGTAAAATAGATTTAAAGTTGCCTTTTGATATTTTTACTTTTATAATGTCAAAATAACTATAAGGTCTATGTATAATCAATGAAAAAAGTCATTTAAAAAACACAAAATGATCAGTATAAAGTTTGTAACCATGTCAAAGTACATGCCCATGGGCAAGAACTAATAGGTTAACATGTAAATGTAGAGACTGCTCTGTAAGACACCCAGGAACCTGGAGGACTGGGTGCCTCTGGGAAGAGGCATTTGGTGTGGATAGAAGACAAGGATAAAAGTATTCTCATGGATTACCCTTTTACTTTTTGAATTTTGAACCATGTAAATATATTACCTATTAAATAAAAAAATAGAATCAAAAATAGCTTTATAACGAAAGATTTTAAAAATAAAGTGGGTATCTCATTCACTAAAAAAACCACACACAATACAAAAACAGATATTAGACTAGGGTGACACAATTAGGGGTGATCCCACCCAAAGTTTAGTTTTTCTTCATTATTTACTTTCAAATACTTATTTGTTGTATTTACTGCACAGATATTCATGATTGCCCCAATTTTCATATGATTGCACAGGGTGATATATTTTGAATCTAACTTTTTAAATTATAAAAGCACTAGACCTTCACTGTAGAATATTAGAAAAAAGGTTTATAATATGATACAGATTTTAAAAAATGAAATCACCTTATAACCTGCTTTTTTCTACTTCTCATAGTGTGAGCATGTTAACAGGCCATAGTTTAACCAATCCCCTGCTGTTTGCCATTTTGAGAGAAATCTAGGTATACCAGGAATACTTCAGTATAGATTCCTAGAAATGGAATTGCTAGATCAAAAAGCACACACAATTCAAAGACTTATGATTGCCAAATTGCCCTCCAAAAATAACAGGAATTCATACTTCTGGTACTGGAGTGTGAGATTTTCTCAAGTTAAAAAAAAAAAAACCAAAACATCTCATTGTGATGCACAGTAAGGAAGAAGCTAATGTGCTGATCCTTCACTTTGAAGATTCTCCCTGTAGAGAAAGTAGCTTGATAGCTGTTCAACAGGTTACTAAAGAGCATCTTCTTACCACCACTCCAAAAACCCTTGGAATGCAAAGTAGTATTTAAGCAACATTCATAAGCAGAAGTTAATCTGAAACACACCCGAGTGCCCTTTCTCCAAACTCTATATTATGTAATAACAATATTCTGTCCAAACCAAAGTCCTAGGGCTCAACTAGTTTTATGCTTACACTGTTACAACCTTCTATATCTATTCCCATAAAAGACAGTTCCAACTTAACTTTCATTATACTCTAAACCAGGGGGGTCCTCAAACTTTTTAAACAAGGGGCCAGTTCACTGTCCCTCAGACCATTGAAGAATGCACACTGTGGGCCCAGGACGAGTTGGCTGCTCAACAGGACAGGCAGCTGTGGCAAAAACACCCGGCCGGCCGGATAAAACATCCTAGGCGGGCGGCATGTGGCTCACCAGCCATAGTTTGAAGACGCCTGCTATAAACACTAGAGGAAGACTGGCATACTCCTGGTCCAACACCTGACATGGGGCTGATGCTCAAGGTGTATCATACAGAAAAAATGATCATCAAGGTTAGGTTTAGGAACTCAACACAACTACTCAGATTTCTAGGTCTGGAAGCCAATGAACAATCAGATGGTCGGCCAGGAGCAGTGGCTCACACCCATAATCCTGGCACTCTGGGAGGCCGAGACAGGCGGATTGCTTGAGGTCAGGAGTGCAAAACCAGCCTGAGCAAGAGCGAGACCCCATCTCTACTAAAAACAGAAACAAATTAATTGGCCAACTAAAAATATATAGAAAAAATTAGCCAGGCATAGTGGCGCATGCCGGTAGTCCCAGCTACTCAGAAGGCTGAGACAGAAGGATCGCTTGAACCCAGGAGTTGGAGATTGTTGTGAGCTAGGCTGACCCCACGGCACTCTAGCTGGGGCAATGGAGTGAGACTCTGTCTCAAAAAAAAAAAAAGACAAAAAAAGAATCAGACGTGTCAAATTTACAACTGATGTTTTAATAAATACCTCATGGCCATGTATCTGTACTCCCCAGTGATACTTACACAATCTTCCTGTTTTCAGGGTAACCTGGTCCCTGGCATAAGGAGACCCCTGCAAGAAACAAAACAGCTCAACCAACTCCTCAAATCTTACACAGGATACATGCTGGAAATGGAAAAGAAGTCTGTTCACCCTCTAACCCTGAAACAGAGCTGTCAGCTGGAGGCAACAATATAATCTTCATCACAGAGTCCTGCCTCACAAACTTTTCCAAAGTAGCCTTAATGGCAGACAGCAACGGGTAAATGGGGCTGAGAGTAGGTATGTGTTGGGGAGAAAAGAAGAGAAATCTGATGGCACAGCCCAAAGTAGTTTTATAATCTTATTAACCTTGAAAATTCCTAAATTTTCATTATTCCCATATGCTTTCATAATAAAATGTCTCTATTTCCAATTCTTCAAATACAACTGAAGCTTGAGAAAGACATGTGATAGCTTATCCTGTAACTATGTATAACCTAATTTGAAAAGCAAAGGAGATGTACAGTATGAGTTTGAGTGGATTGGATTGACAATCTTATTGCCTAAACCCAAGCAGCAAAGACGGGCTACTTTAAGCCCAGGATCTCCAGCTTGTCCCAGGACTGAGAAAATCATTTCCCCACCTTTCAGTTTATTAACTTCCCATGCTCTTTCTGAAGTCATCCACCCTGGTCACTCTCAACAAGGTGGAAGCCTCTTTTTGCCCACCAGCTGTCCTTAACCATAGTTAACTGCATTTCCCCAACTGATGACCAGTAACTACAGCTGCCTCCCTCCTCTTGGGTCTTATTTTTTTCAGATCAACAACTCTTTCTGAACCATAGGCTCAGGAGATAGCAAATATGAGGCAGTTCTCTTATGCTCATCTACTCACAAACATCCCCAAAAGAAAGCCAGTCACCTCTATGTCCAGCAGCAATAACTGTGCAATGCAAATTCCAAGCATGGCATGTCTCTGAACAAGAACAGCCAGTAGCTCACACTGATTTTTGAAACCCTGAGTCTAATTCAGAGTTCATCCTACAGCAAGTTTCATTTGTATAGTGCTTTAGGGTTTATAAAAAGCTTTCACATAATGACCTCGTTTTGATTTAAGTATCAAAAATGACTCTCCGAAATGGAGCCACCATCTGCCATTATTCCCATTTCATATAAAAGTAGGGCTTCTGGAGATTAAGTGACTAGCCCAAGGTGAATCTTTGAGCCAAGATGCAAACCCCCAAGTGCAAGGCTGTTTCCACTGTCCTACAAAATGGAGAAAATATTTACTGACATTTTCCATTCCCATCTGAAAAGAATGTTTATTACGGGAGAGTCAACTACGAGCTGACACTGTGTTAAATGCCTTATGTTTTCATGACACTTAGGATAAAGTCCAAACACTTTATCCAGTCCTGTACCATCAGCCCTCCACCATCCTTCCAGCCAGACAAGCTTCTTTTCCACATCTCTAACTGGTCAGGCCTCGTCCTGTTTCAAAACATTTGCACAAGCAATTTCCTTTGCCTGAAATATTATTTTCTTGACTTACTCTTCTGTATTCTTTAAGTCTCTGCTTAAATGTCACTTCTTCAGGGAAGCCTTTACTGACATTCCCATGGCATTCCCTGTCTTTCTTAGTTCTGCTCCATCATCCCACCCTCTCATCACACCCTTTACTTCTCTCATAGTAATCACGATATAATTGTGTCCTTATGTGTGCATAGATGTGTATCTGCGGTCTCTCCAGCTAGCCCATAAGATTGAGGGCAAGACACCATCTATATCCCTGTCACCTAGCACAGTAGCTGGCATGTAGTAAGCACTTAATAAATGATCTGTTGAGTACATGAGTAATGAGAACATGGTGGGTTAAGAGTTCACGCTGAGCTAGGTAGACCTGGCTTCATCAATAGTTGCCTGAGTGACCTTGGCCAAGACACTTAACTCTCTTATCTTGGTCTATACGTTTGTAAAACAGAGATATTATCTGTTTTGTGATGATTAAAAAATGCACAGAATGCACTCAGAAAAATGCTTGGCATAAAGAAAGCCTACAATAAGACGGACTGGTAAGTATTTATACCAGGCATTAATAAAAAATAAACTACATAAGACACATTAATAATTTTTTTAAAAAACCTATTGGGATAAATTCTATACTTCTTTCAGAAGTCCACATCATCTTCTACGTCATGCCACTTTCTCCCTTAACCAAAACGCTCTGCCAAATTACTTTTTTTTCCAGTTCCTAAATACTGCCAATCTCTTTCCTCAGGGTCTTTGTACATGTTCTTCTTTCTTTCTCCTATTCACTGCGACAGATCTGTCACATCCTCCAGGTCACAGCTCTAAGGTCACCTATTGAATGAGGTCCCTTCTGTCCACCCTTATTTGTTTCCTTCTCAGCATTTACCAAAATTTGTGATTATATTCACTTGTTTAGCAAGTTACACTTTGTCTTTCCCACTAGCCTGTGAGCTCCATGAGAGCATGAACTGCTGTATCCTTTGAGTGCCTAGCACAGAGTACCAGACACAGTAAAAACTTATTAACTACAAGCTCAATGACTAAATGGTAGTTGTTCCGTTTAAGCAGCATGTTGTTTTACTCCTCTCTGAACACCCCGATTTCCTTACATACTGCTCTGCCCAGGAGGAGAGCATTTTAGGTGACGGCAAGGGCAGAACTTACCAGGCAGGGAACGTCTCCCTAGAGGGCAGTTCCCCTGTTGAGAAAGAAGACATTGTCGACGTCACCCAAGATGAAAAGAGAAAAGAAACCGCTTTTTAAGTACCCATTCAAAGCTGTCCCACTGCTGGTGACAGGTGAATCTCCTAACTTCAAAGATAAACTCAACACACCGAGCTCAGCAGCCCAAATCAGCACACTAGGCCTGCCCAACTAGCTCAACTTCCCCGAAGGACTGATGCCTACTGGTTTTAACAAAACAGAGGAGACAGGCCCCCGCATCCTGTCGGAGGACTCCGCCGCGCCTCCTCCCGAACTGTGAGTCTAACCCTGGGACGGGCGCGGCTCCTGAGCTCCGCAGCGGAGGGTGGGGTACAGCGGGAAACGGGCCGCACGGGCTACCTGGAGAAGGCAAGGGGCCGCCAGGCTCTACAAGACAGCCTGAAGAGCGGCAGCGGCCTCGAGCCGCCCAGCCCGCGCGGCCTCTGCGTCCCGGTGTCCTTGGTGCCCGGCCTGGCCGGCGCGCCGCGCCCCTGCCCTCCAGGCCGCCTGTCCGCCAGCCGGCAGGTTCCTCACCCGCTGGAGCCCCGGCTCGGCCAGACCGTACCTTCTGGAAGGCGGAGAGCGAGCGGCTGAACGCCCGGGACACGCAACGGGACCGGGACAGCATCGCGGCGGCGGCGGAGCCGAGGGCGGGCGGACACCGGATATAGGGCCCGGCAACAACCGGAACTGGGACGGGCCGCAGCACCCGCCGCGCGGCGAGGGGTGTTCGGAGCAAACCACTGGCAGGTGGCGCGACTCCGCAGTTCTTGCTGCAGCTGGGGGGGTTCTTGGTTCTTGGAGCCACCTGAGCTGCCTACCAGCCTGGGCCGGTTCTCGTCGTTCTACCTAGGACTCTCCAGCCACCAGATCGCCCCTGGGGTCAGGCCTTCCCCGACCTTTCAGCAGAGCCAGCTCTGAACTTGGCGCCCTTCTCGGCGCCATTCCGCCTCTGTACCAAGGGAAGAGAGCCAAAGGCGGGCATGGGCTTTGAACTCGGACTTTGACAGACATGCTTGCCTGATCTTAACACTAGTGTGGCCTTGGGCAGATGACACTGCCTCTCTGAGCCCCAGGTTCCTCAATTATAAAAATAAGGCACTTGTCCCACTTCCGTCTCCCTAACCCTGAAACAAGAGTCCCAAAGAACCTCTAAAGGACTCCCACGGCCCCTTTTCAAGCTGAATATCTTTACCAACTATTCTTGCTTCTGCAACATCTGATCTTCCCCAATCTCTACGCAAACTCTTTCCAGCCAAACTAATTGTTCCCCTTAAATACCGTGCATTTTGGAAAGTGTTCGTTTGTCATCCTAGCCCTGGAATATAAACTCCTAATCCCATGGAGTTTATATTCTGTCTTGTTCACTGTTTTCAGAGATTGGCGTGGTTTAAGTGTGCAAATATTTATGGACTGAATCTGGGCCTCCCAGCTTTAAGCATACCATTCTGCCCATTGCCTTGAAGTGAAAGCACATAGCACCCCTCCCCCTCCTTAACTGCTGCCTTCCCTACAGTCTTCAGGCCCCTGAGAGTATTCACCTTAATAGTTCACCTTCTTAATAGAAAAGGTGTTCTGTTAACCCTTGGTTGAATTAATAACAAGTAAATGTGTGAATGAATGAATCACCTGGTGCCTGCTCACAATGGTTTCTTTCTTTCTTTTTTTTTTGAGACAGAGTCTCACTTTGTTGCCCAGGCTAGAGTGAGTGCCCTGGCCTTAGCCTAGCTCACAGCAACCTCAATCTCCTGGGCTCAAGCGATCCTGCTGCCTCAGCCTCCCAAGTAGCTGGGACTACAGGCATGTGCCACCATGCCCGGCTGATTTTTTCTATATATATATTAGTTGGCCAATTAATTTCTTTCTATTTATAGTAGAGACAGGGTCTTGCTCTTGCTCAGGCTGGTTTCCAACTCCTGACCTTGAGCAATCTGCCCGCCTTGGCCTCCCAGAGAGCTAGGATTACAGGCTTGAGCCTCTGTGCCCTGTCTCGATGGTTTCTTTATCTGAGTCATTTTGCCGTGTCCTCAAGACTTTTGTAGTACCTTCACTCACCCAAACCCTAAAAGCCTTGCCACTGGAATTCTGGAAGGATGGACAGAAGCCCTAACTAATTTCTAGTTGAAATAGAGAAAACATCTGTGCCCTGCTGCTGCCCATGATCAAGTCCTCAGTATCCTTCACCTGGATTGTTTTCTAAGCAGCCCTAAGCCTCCTCTCACTTTCTCTAGCTCATCCTTCACACCTGTGTCAAAGATACTTCTGAAATGCAAACCTAATCCTGTCACTCCCCTGCTTAAAGTTTTTCCATTGCTTTGCCTCATGTGTGGGAATAAGTCCAAACTCCTCAATTTGACCAGGCACCTGATAATCTGGCTTCTGACTATGTTCCCATCCTCTTCCCCCATTCTCATGGATCCTGAGCTATCATCATACCACACTACTGGCTGTCTGCCCACTGTGCTATTTCACTCCTTCACATTTTTGCTTGGGCTGTTCCCTCCTCTTATTTGTCTAGGGACTCCTGGTCATCCTTTAAACCTCTTTCTGAATCCCTTCCTAATCCCCTCTGGCAAAGTTAACTGACACTTTTTTCTATGCTTCCAAAGCATTGTGTCCGTACCTCTACATCACAGGGTATTGTCACATCCTGTTTACCTGTCTCCTCAATTGGGTAAAGAAGCAGGAGGAAAGAAACCACTTTCTATTTTCCGGAATCCTCCACACACAACATAGTGCCTGGTACACTGCAGGTGCTCAGTAACTATTTACGGAATGATTAAATACTTCCATGCTTACAGCACTGCTGGACACAGCTGAAGAGTCCAAGACAGTAATCAGAAGCTCTGGTAACCTCTTGCTGGGGTTGCTGTTAATATTTCTTAGATAGCTGTTTAGTTCTTTCACAGTTTTTAATAATTAATTTTTGAAATTCTAAGCTAAGGTTTAGAAGTTCAAGCCTGGTTATAATGTAGCAAAGCATTTCTCCTGGAGTTTTAGTGATCACCCAAGTTAATCTCAGATATTATAGTCTTAGGCACCACATGCACACACACACTCACACTCATGCATGGTAGCACACAAAGTCCTTCCCAGAGGATAAAGGTTGAATTGATTTCCTTGAAATTCACATATGAGCTTCCATGGAGTCCAAGGTGCAACCCGATAAGCTGGCGTCCTCTTCTTCATTGAGAGCCTCCAAGAATACAGCGTCATCTATTGGGGCAGGAGTTTATGAATATATAAGTTGTAGCAGGGTTGGAAAGAGAATTTTTGAAAAACATTTTCATTGTAAAAGATATATTCAGGAGATTGTATAAATCTATGTGTACAGTTTTAAGAAGAATAATAAGGAATTTCCATACTCTGTGACTCCTCAATCATACTGAATTGTATATTAACCATCCCGTTTTCATTATAGCTTCAATATGCATTGTCCTAAACTATACATGTTTTTTGCATACTTTTTAAATTGAGTAAAAGTGATAATTTTCAAATTACAAAAGAAAAAAATATGTGTTTTTAGAAAGGATTCAGTGGCTCCATTAGTGGGCAGTTCACCTTGAGTAATAGACATGGCATTCTTTTTCCCTACCTCAAATCCTCCACCATTTGTACGTGTGGTCTGAACCGTACACTCACATCCTTGCTTATGTATTTATGAATTTTATTGGCCATAGTAGATGGGGCTATAGCCTATCCTTCCATCTCTGGGCTCCTTAAAATAGGACCTATGTCCTACTGTCACTCTGTATTACCTAGGACACCTAGACTCCATCTCTCTGTCTCTCCAGTTATAATTTAAAATAATGGATAGATGAACACACAGTGAAAATCTAGACATGGGTTTTTTGTTTGTTTGTTTTGGGGGGTGTTGGTCTATTTTTGAATTTAATAGAAATGGAATCACAGTGCCTGTATCATTCTGTCACTGACTTCTTTCTCTCAGCGTGATGTTTTGAGGATTTCTGCATGCTGATGAGTTTGAGCTATAGTTTATTCATTTTCATTGCTGTATTTCACAACATTCACACCAATTCCCAAGCTGAAGGAGGTGGAGATGACAAAATTTAGGAGGTTTGGGGGTAGGTGGATTTGGCCGGTGAGTTTTCCCTAGCCCTGTCAGGGACGGCGTTTTTGCCTGGCAACCAGCCTTCCCAACAGCGTTCAGACCTCTGCTGGAGGGAGGGGCCGCACAGCCTCCCTTTCCCACAGATCCGAGATGCCATGTTTCGGTGCTGGGCCCATTCCAGTCTCCTCAGGATGCTTGAGGGACAGGGAAAAGGTGTTCACTTTGAAGCTGCCACATTGGGGAACTTGGAAGCAGTGGTCAGGAGCTCCCTGGCCCGAGGCCAGAGCAATGGGAGAAGCTGGGCAATTCAGTCCCCAATTTTTCAAAGGGCTCTGAGGGGCCTTAGGCAAGGACAGAAGAGATGGCATTTCAGGGAAGTCCTCTCTGAGCTGGCTTTTCTGGGCACCTGAGTTGGGGTGGGGTGGGAGATGGGGGGGAAGGGGTGGGCAGCCAACCAGCTCTGGCCTCTATTTACATATTCATACTCCATCCCCCCCCACCTTGCTGGTTGGCTATGCTAAGCAGCCCCCACTGTCCCCAGAGTCAGCAGCTGCAGCAAGGCTGGGTCTGTCAGATGGTGCCTTGTGCTGAGAACTGGTGGCAGGCTCCTCTCACCAGGCTAAGGGCACCAGACCTGCCCAGGGAGGAAGCAGGGAAACAAAAATCACTTCCTGACCCAGGCTGGCTGGGAATGCGCTATTCCAGCTCCTAGGCCCACCTGGCTGCAGAGCTCAGGACAAGGACCTCTTCTCTGTGAGTAACACCATCCCTTCCATTTACCTGGCCAGAGTACCTTTTCTTAAATGATGGAATGTTTATTATGAAAAATTTCAAGTGGGCAGAAAAGTGGACAGACTAGGGTCACAATACCCATCCCTAAACCTATCACCCAGACTGGACAATTGTTAATATATTTACTTTGTCTATTTTTGTTGGCTGAAATACTTTTGAATAAATTACAGAGATGGAGACATTTTACTCCCTATAGGGTATGCATCTCTGGAGCCTTTTCGAAGCTCTTTTTTCATTAGGTTCTTGCAAGAGTTCTGGGTGAGGGGGTGGTTATCAACCCCATTTTATAAGAGCTGAAGTGCAGAAAGTGTGTCTTCAGGGCAAGTGGCTGGGAGTAGAGCCCAGACTGCCCACCTCCCAGCCCATGCCCCTGGACAGCCACACGAAAGGATCTCTGATGTTCCGGGGTGTTTTCCTAGAGAGCAATGAGGCATCACAGCCAGTGTGTGACCTTGGGCATGCCACTTCACCTCTTTGACTTCCTCCTCCATTAAGGGAGGGCATGCCATGAAGATTCAAGCAGCCCTAACACCGGTCACTGGTTTTCAGAAAAATGAGAAAAAACAGCATAGAGTTTTTCACAAAGCAAATTTATTTGCATATTACCTTCCTTCTTCTTTTTTTTTTAAAGGGCGGTTAAGATTTTTTTCTTTTATGAAATAAACAGAAATGATAGTAGATTGCAGTCACACTTATATTTGGCGCTCTCACTTGCAAAATAAAATGTCCACAACTCTCGAGCTATTCCAATTTTTTTCTCTTTATTTTATTAATGGTTGAAATCTTAAAGTTGGGAAACCACCCACTGTACCAGATGCTCCCGAA